TTCGTCCAGCCTGGCCTTGAACACTTCCAGGGATGGGGCATCCACAGCTTCTCTGGGCAACCTGTTCCAGTGCCTCACCACCCTCACAGTGAAGAATTTCTTCCTTAGATCTAATGGAAATCTCCCCTCTTTCAGTTTAAAGCCGTTGCCCCTTGTCCTGTCATTACACACCCTTGTCCAAAGTTTCTCTCCAGCTTTCCTGTAGGCCCTTTAGGTACTGGAAGGCTTCAATAAGATCACCCCGGAGCCTTCTCTTCTCCAGGCGGAACAGCCCCAACTCTCTCAGCCTGTCTCCATAGCAGAGGTGCTCCAGCCCTTGGAATCATCTTTGCGGCCTTCTCTGGACTTGCTCCAACAGCTCCACGTCCTTCTTGTGCTGGGGACCCCAGAGCTGAACACAGACAGGGAGTCCTGGGACAAATGCAAGCCCTGGATGGAGCTTGTACAAAGAGTATTGTTTGTTTTGCACCCTGCGTGGTTCAGGACCCTCCCACACACTGCTGTCCCAGCCAAGTGGTGCAAGGGCTTTTTCTTGCACTCCAGCTGTTTGTTCTGTGCTCTCTCCTTTGAAAGCTTGCTTTGCAGATGCTTCCAATTTAGGTCTCTTTGTGCAAAATCTCAGCTGCAGATGTTCTGGCTCCTGGCTGAATCGTGATCAGGTTTTTTTTTTGTTTTGTTTTTTTTTTGTTTGTTTGTTTGTTTGTTTTTAGCTGGATCCCACCGTTTGAAGCAGTTGTTGAGTTTTGCAATTGGTGGGCTACTGGGGAATGTGTTTCTGCACCTGCTTCCTGAAGCCTGGGCCTACACATGCAGTGCAACGACAGGTATGAAAGCCTTATGTGCCTAGAAGCGGTCTGTGCTATGCCTGCTGCTACATTTTTTTGAGTCCATCTCAAAAACACAAGACCATCCAGGCTGGGTAAGCCTGGTCTAGGCTGGTGTTCTCTTTCAAACAATGTGTAAAGGCAAATGCCTCGGGGAGGATATAAAAACACGTGTAATACTTCATCTCTGCACTCTGCAGTCCTCCACAGATTTTGAGATTGGAGACTTCCTGAGTTGGCCACAGTTTCTTTCTATTTAGTAACTTGCAATGGATTTCTTGTCTATCAACTTTTCCTGTCTTGCCTGGGACACCTGTACATCTCTCTTGATTTTCCTTTGTCCTTTCTTCTGTAAGAAAAGGGAATGCTTTAATGTGATGGAAGTTATGAATGTGGCTTTGGTCTGGTACATGAACGTGTGCACCATCTCAGGTGGGGATTCTGCCCCGTCAGATGCATCTTGTCTATAAATCTCTCCCTATAACAGGGTTACTCCTAGAGCCTCTTTCCTGGGACCAACTGGGGCCCCTCCACTGGGTTCTTCAATCTACCAGAGGCCAAATGTGTTGCCCTCTCAATCTTTGCTCAAGGAGAAGTCATGGAAAATTGTCCGTAGACCCATGGAAAAGATGGGTGGGACGGGCAGGGGGAGAAAAAGGATAATGCAGATGATAGAAACCTGTGTTTGCCAGCCAACTAAATACTTTGGGTTGGGATAGACCTTGTGGTGTCAGTGTAGCTCCTTCCCCTCTCAGACAGACAGGGTTGTTGAAACCTGTAGTGGTTGTATCTCTGTGCTTCAGCCAACTGAAAGCGTACAAGACAAGTGCTGCTGCATCCCACCTGTTGAGAAACTGAGGAATCCTTACCCCGCTGAAAACCTGAGGGAGGGAAAAGGATGCCCTCGGTTGCCCAGACTTCCTTGCACCTGTGTCCTGGGATTTCAAATCTGCTGGGCCTTTGGTCCTCTTGGTCCTCATGGCTCTGGCACTGCCAGCAGAACCTGCTGTCCCTTTTTTCCCCCTTTCTGCAGTGGTTCCCAAATGACTCTGTCTTCCTGCTCTGGCTTGTTTGCTTCTGCCAGACTGTCCTGAAACATAAAGGTTTCCTTGACCCACGTAAGCCCCGTTACGGAGTGGAGTCGTTCCGTTCTTCCACTTCGGTGCAGTCTCCCTTCTGCAGCCGGGCTGAACGGACGATTATCTCCCAAGCTTGGCTGTAATTGAAAGGAAAGTTTATAGCCTTGGGCTAATAACTTGCCTAGGTGTGGCAGAAGGGGGAAGGTGAGTCTGTAGCTCCAGTAATGGCACATTTCATGTCAGGGCTTGCTGCTCAGTAGATACAGCTGCAGGATTTTTGTTGAGGTAATCTTCACTTGCCTCTGGAGCTCAGGGAAATTCCCAGTGTTAGGAAATATTCTGGATTGCACTGTTGAACCAAAAGGGGTGGGGGCTCTCGCTCTGAGTGTCCTGAGATACGGATGGGTATTTGTTAGATCAAGAACGAGCAAGTTAAAGTAATTTGCTGTGAGCTAAGTTTGCTCCTGACTCCTCACAGGAGGTGTTTCCGTTGTCATTTCTTGTTTTTTGTCTTGGAACTGTTGGTTAAACTGTGTGGGGCAGGGTGGGTTCACAGGTGGTACATGAAGGTTTCTCTCTTGTCTCTCAGGAGAAGGGCAGAGCTTTCAGCAGCAGAAGCTTCTGGGTCTCTGGGTGATCATTGGTTTCCTGACCTTCCTGGTGCTAGAGAAGATCTTCCTAGAGAAAGAAGAGGAGTGCCCTGGTGTGGTAAGTTAGCAGCCAGAGGGGAGAGAGTGCTGTTGTGTTTGGAGCACCGTACTAAACACCTCCTCTGACCTATCTGACAGGCTCAGCAAATGATCAGTCAATGCCCTTTGGGAGGTTTTTGCCATTTCTTTGACACTGGGCTCTAGAAGAAGGTGTTTCATCTCTGGGCTTTGGTTTTGTGGTTTTAGCTGAGATTTCTCTGGGCTGCTTTTGTTCTTGATGTGGTACACGTAGAAGAGATCTCCCCTTTTATGGGGACTGGGAGCTGGAGCGCTCTACGGGTGAGACTCTTGCTGGAGTAAGCTTTGAGAGATGACAGCCCGCTGATGCGTATTTCACTGAGCCATCATGACTCACTCTTCTCCTGGGTCCTCAGAACACAAACCAGCCTTCTCTGGAGAGTGTTCCTCACTTCCCACTCTGCTTGGGTATGGCCTGGACCAGGTGTTTGTTCGGGTGACTTTGTGTATAGCAGGGGTTTGTGGTTGGCCCAGGTGATGCTAAGTAATGGTTCACAGGTGAGTCACCCAGCTGTGAAGGGGCAATGTAGACAGAGGTACCAGAAGGTAATTCCAAGATGGACGAGAGCAGCTAGTCCTCAGACATCTGCACAACTCCTAGCAGCAGCTCCTATAGCCTGTTCAGTCTGTGCTGTGCCATGGCTTGGGAGAGCTGAACCTGCAGGTCAGGCACCGCGTAAGAGCACTTAGGTGATACTGTGACTCAGCGTGAGACTTTTAAGTTGAAAGGAAATTAATCTTCTAATTTACTTCTCTCTAATCAGAGAGACTGAAGTCCGAGATGAGTGTTTTGTTGTTTGCAAGCTGACTATCCCAGCTATAGACTAATTCTCCACGCTTAGTTATTGTGATGCACTGGGGAGACCAAGAGTCTTTCTCCCCGTCCCCTGCCCAGAGGGAGATGTATTTCTCTGGGCAGCAGCTGCCAGCGGGAGCAGCAGGTGGAGTCTCCCATCTTTCCAGTGGAACCTGGCTCATGCCGAGGGAGTGTGACTCCAATTCCTCCTCTCTCTTTCTACTTCCTTCTCTTTGTGATTGGAGAAGTCTTTGTTCTTGTTGTCTCCCAGTGCAGATGTCACAATGCTCTCTGAAACCTGTCTTGTTTCTGGCAGTTCTCGTTATTAAACTGGGGTACCAAAGCTGCTGATTTGCGTTGTAAGGACGAAAGGATTAAGGGTGAGGATTGGATTTCTGATCCTGATTCATGCTTATTTGTCACCAACAAAACCAAGTTGTTTTCCCCTAATTTAGGGCGGTGATTCCAAAGCACCAGCTGGAAAGATTCCCAATGGAAGTGGCTACCCCATGCCAAAGGTGGCAGGCCAATCCCAAAGAGCAGGAACAGGTTCAACTCAGTGTAACGGCTCCTCTTGCCAGTCTTATCCAACAGACAACAGGATCAAGGTAAGAGACCCACAAACTGCCCTTCACATCTTATGTTTTCAGGGCACATATTTTAAAATTCAGTCAGGTGGCTGAGTTGCCTGTGGAAAGAGCTGTGCCGAAGTGAGAAACTTGGTGTTTGAGTGAGTTGTGCTTAATTTTGCTCTGTCAAAGTGTCTGTCCAAGCCACAGCAGGGAGGAAGTAGCTGACTTGGAGAATATCTGCACTGCAGCTTATGCAAAAGAAGCAAAGTCACTGTTGCGAAGGCATAAGTCTGATGATGTGCATTTTGGCTGAACCCTGAGATGCAAAGTACAGTACTTTTGTTATCCTATATCTTATAGTCATCATTTCTTTATTTGGTTAAATTTTTGTGCTGTGATTTCTCTGTTCTCTAGTGCCTGCGTTGTACCAGTTGCGAGCGGCACGTTTCCTTTCGAGGCACCTTTTGGAAGTGTTTTGGCAGTTGAAGCTATCCACTGTAAAACTGAGAAGTTCAGTTTCTCAGATTAGCAGTTTATGCACTGCCAAAAAGGGCTTCTTGTCCACTTCTGCCTCCAAACCTGTGCTTCCCATCACTTTCTTTGCACTGGATCTCGGCGAACCCCACAGTGAGCCTATTTAGGGAGCTAAACAGGCTCTGAATTAGCTTTTTCTTTTTTTTTCATTCCCCCCACCCTGGTTTTTTTCTCCCCTGACTTACCTTCTTGAACCAGCTGGGCATATAGACAGCCAGCCAGTCGTGCTGGGATAAAGGAGATCAGCAAGCTCCTAGGATTGGAGGTGGAGGAGGGAAAAGGAGTACTGTGCCATCGGGCAGTGGCTAATGTTTAGATTGGCTTTGCTTTCAGTTTGATGTTACTGTCTTTGCACTGTGGAAGCCCCTGTTTGGGTGAACATTACAAGCAAGAGAGTCAACAACCACTTTGAAAGAGGACCAACAATTTGAGTTTGAAAGCCCATAAAAATGTGCAAGACTGTAGGAGAGTAACTGTGAACAAAAAGTGTGGTTGCATGAACCAGCCCAATCCTGGATACATGGTCAGTCAGAGGCTCCTCCGTGTTTCTATTTGAAATTTGTTTTGCTGCAACTTTATAGCTCTTACTACACGATGTGAAAGATGTGTTGGGGTCGCTGGGCATTTTTGATGTCTGTCACATTCATATAATCTGTACAGAGCGCTGCAAGGTGCCGTGTTGGTGTTTCTAGAGGTGATAGTGGTGAAGAAAACAATATTACTGGGTTGTGAAACTTTGTGCCATTGTTTTAGAAAGGTTTATGTAAGGAGCCACAGACTTACAGGATGGTGAGTCTACCACTGATGTGAAGTAGAACTGGTGGGGCACACCATTGCACAGGTGAAAAATAATAATGTAATTAGTGCTAAGTGATACGATCTTATGGAAGATAAATTCTTGTCAACCAGACATTTTTCCTTGCCTTTTATTCAGTCATATGATTGTTTGATAAAGGTAATGATACTGGCAAACATATCTAAACCAGAACTTTCTCCCACATTTTAACCAAATTAGTACTGCGTTAAATCAACTTTGCTCATATTAGCTGTATTAAAAAGAAATAGTTATTCTATATTGTAAACAGGGATTGGATTAATGCAGCCCCCCTCAAATCTATTCATTGGTGGTTTATGATTTTTCTAAGTGATTATTTATAAAAACAGTGTATCTTCACATTTGCAGATACTACTGTCTTGCTTAAGTGGTGCTTTGTGACTGCTTGAGGTCAGAGATATTGGCTGAACTGAGTAACCTCATCAAGAGAGCTGAATTTTTAACACGTTTTGATACATGCAAACATTAAGGAATAGATTAAGAAAGAATGCAGATCATATTTACCAGATAGGGACAGTTTCTAGGAAGACAATGCCTTGGAAAAAGGTATGAGAGTCACAGTAGGAAATTGTTTGAACATGTTCTTCCAGTATGATGCTACAGCCGGGAGGACGGGTGAGTAAGAAACAGTATGTAAGAGAAGAGGCAAGTGTTCCTCTTCCTATATAGCACTAAGGAAAGAGCTATCTGACTTTTTCCACTAGTGTTATTCACAATATCCAAAATACTACCCAATAATTTGTAGAAGGGTCAGGAAAGAGCTGAAATAATTATTTTAGGTTTGCAGCGAGTGGTAAGAAGCAGTTTTCTTTAGTCTTTAGCTCTGTAGATGTGACAGAGGAGGGGTGACTTTAAGTATACAAATACCCATGTAAGAGGCATGACTAAATTTGAATAGGTAAAGCTATACCCACCAGTAGCAGACTAGAAATCAAAGATAACTCTGTAACTGAGGGTGACTTGCCAGTGGGCCAACTTAGCTTAGAGACACAATAGATTCTTTGTCACTTGTGGGTTTTAACCTGTCGTTTTAGCTTCTTTCTACAAAGTACACTGTAGCTTAAGAACCAGTGGACTTGATGCAGAAACAGAATGAGACTCTTTTGGTTGTGGTATGTAGAAGGTCTAGACAACCATGGAGAGTCCTTCTAGCTTTAAAATCCGAACACGACTGCGTCTTCTAGACGGTTGTCAAATGCATGAAATAGAAACTAATGGGTTAATGTGTCTAGTTTTAACTTTCTACCTTCTGAGCATATAATCTGAATATTTTAATAGTCTTTCTGGTAGGGGGGAAATTACCAAAACTACCAAGATACATTCCTGCGTTGTTAGCCTGTTTCCGTAGGCAACAACATAAGCAGTCATTCCATCTGTCTGTCCATCTGTTCTGCCCTTCATTTTCAATAACTTTTGAACCCATAATTAATTTTACTGGAGTTCAAGAGAGGATAGAAGTCTTGAGGGTAATCAGATTTCTGCAAGTTCCATAAAAATCAGCATGGTGGTAGAGGAGGAATGCAAACTAATGCCCTGTTGAGAAACTCTGGCAGAACTTAGCTGGTGCATGGTGGTTGGCAGGTCATAGAATCATGGAATGGTTTGGGTTGGAAGGGACCTCAAAGATCATTGAGTTCCAACCCCCCTGCCATGGGCAGGGACACCCTCCACTACACCAGGTTGCCCAAAGCCTCATCCAACCTGGCCTTGAACACTTCCAGGGATGGGGCATCCACAGCTTCTCTGGGCAACCTGGTCCAGTGCCTCACCAGCCTCAATGTAAAAAATTTCTTCGTTATATCTAATTAGCACGTAAGTCTCACTGCCTCTGCCTGGCAGGGAAGTGGCTGTTGTGCAGGGCATGGGGGGGAAGGGACACGCAGAGAAACAGCGTTGGCTGGAGGTGAGCAAAGTAGGTGCTTGCAAAGAAAAGAGAGAAAGCCACTGCTTTGGTTCTGCTACTCACTCAGTAACCTTTTTTTTTTTTTTTCCAAGACCAAAAGGGTAAGATACTATTTAAAGAAACAAACAAAGTCACCCTTCAGGGCTTAATGATTAGTAAGCTGTAATCAGCCGTGCTTTGTCCATACACATTAGAACTTCTGCTCTTCAGCTGCTGCTGTAATAATTTGTCCTCGGTTGAAAACTGCAGGTGGGTGGCTTCCTGTGCACCCAGACGTAGATCAGTTCTGTCCTGCATTGCAGCCTGTATTCCCTCAACAAGTGAAAATGTTGCAGAGTACTTTTGCCTTGCTTATTCTTTCTTTTTCCCTGTGGCACAGGAGGTCCTTGCTGATTTATAGAAGTATGTTTTATTGCACGGTGACATTAATTCCAAAGCATGAACATAAACACTTCATCTGGCTGTGCTCTTTATGAGCAATGAGAACATCCTATTAGGAATCCGGAGAATGTAAATGTCAGAGGCTCATAACTGTCAAATCAACCCAATTTATTTCTGAGCACTCCAAGGCTTTGCTTCTTTCAGTGACAGCTTTTGCCCAAGCCACTGACAAGAAAAAGTCATCATGTTTTAATCATGAAGTCTGTTTTTTCCCTATACAGTGGTATGGGAAAGCATTTTTGTGTAAAACTTCTGTGAATAATTATTACTAGCCTGTGGGAAAACGCAATCACATAAAATCCCGACGTGAAAAGGAGAAATTTTAGACAGTCACGTTTGACTAAAAACGAGGAATGAGAAGTAAAACTGCTGTGTTCACGGGTCTGCCTGCATACATCCCTTTGTGTTCCCTTCTTACAAGACCATGCAGGGAACTTCCATATCCATTGTGGAGATGTTACTTAGATTATTAAACGTGATCTGTAGTTCGGCTTTGCTTAATTCTTTATTTTCATACTTAATCATCAATGCACTTTAAAAAGTTTAGAGCCTATAAAGATGTCCTGAGATTGTGCAGTAGGAGTGCTCTACAGTGAAGAGTGATGCTTTGGAGAGGGAGATTTGACAGAATGCCCCACCTGAGCTGTGGCATACGGATGGCAGGAAGAAAAGATGCCCCGAGCGGAGTTTGATAGAACAGGGAAAAGCAGAAGACGAGAAAGGGCTCGTCAAACCCATCAGCACTCGTGTTTTTCCAGCTGAACTTTGGCACTTGATGCTGTGGTGAAGTAAGAGGTTGATCCCTCACAGTTTCTAGACAGTCTCTCCTCTCCACGCTCTGAACGCTGCCCTGTATCTGAAGTTGGTGTGCACCAGCTGAGTTCTTGAGCCAGAGACAGCCTGATGTGTTGGCTAACACCAGGTTCGACAAAAATTTCAACTGCAGGGCCATACAGTGAGCTGCAGGACCCACACACAGTACTTTTTGTTAAATCTGATGGAAAAAAAAACACAAAAACAAACAAACAAAAAAACACACGAGCAAAAGAGCTGAGATGGTACCCTCATAAATCACTTTGGGTCAAATACTCAGAATTTGTCTGGAGATGTCCATAGTTATAATAGGAAAGTCTAACATGGAGCTGGGCTTGTGAGGAAGGAAGCTGCTTTATGCTCATAATTTTAAGAAATGTGTTTATATGCAAAGGCATATACATGCTATCCATGGTGACTGTCATCACTATCTCCTCTTTTTATTCTTTGTTAAGCGAAAGCAAACCCACAAGCACAAGCTTTTTTAGTACAACGCTTCAAGATTTGTTTAGTTATAAAAAGCCATTTCAGCAGCATTTATTCTGTTGCATTGTTCTTGCCAGCTTTTGAAAAGGAGATTTAACAGTTGGATATTAAAGTACACGACTAGAAAACAGGATCGGGTCATATTTGAAGCCAGTCACCTACGTAAATTAGTCAGTGTTACCTAAAATTGAGTTGATGTAGAATCAGATATATCTCTGCATTTTGGATTTCTTCTTTTTCCTTTCTCCTTTTTTTGTTTCTAGAGCTCTTTGTCATTTGCATAAGATGATTATCCTAATCTCAGATGACTTGCCTACCCTAAAACTCAGTTTACTCCAAACTGAACATAACATTTAGTTGGTACAGGAGCACCGATGTAGTTAAAGTCATAGAAGTGCCACGTCCTGACCTGTCCCATCTGATTGTGACTCTATAACCTGTGTCTAAGCCATGTGTTCTCCTTTATCTTGCTACATCTTTTCCTTCATCAGAGGCTTTTCCTTCTCTTTGCAGATCAGTGGATACCTCAATCTGCTGGCCCACACCATTGAC